TGCTGAAGCAGAAGGGCCCGGCACCGGTGCGCGTGATGGCTCTCGGCCCGACGGACTCGCCCCCGTCGCCCTGGTCGTGCATCCTTTGGGCCGGGGAGCGCGGCGCTCGCGTCACGCAGTTGCGCAACCGAGTCATCGCCAAAGTAAGCCGCGCGATTTATGCGAATGATGGGTCGGGGATCTGCTCTGTCTTCGTTGTCTGTCTGTATACGCCGAATGAGAAGTGCGTTTTTAGGAGCTTAAATCGAATAATCCGAGTCGAGGTCTGTCATTGTCCTTGGAGCGACTTTTACGTTCCGTTAGGGGGGGGGGGGTAATGATCGAGCGGCGATGCTATTAATTGAAATATAATCGCCGTTTCCCCGATGGAGTTGTACGTTTTAGCATGTAAATGCAAAAATTGCGCATGACTCTCGATTCGCATTTGGTGGCACTCTTGAATAATCATTATGACCTTACGATTTGATAGTACGATGATGGTTTACATTGAAATTGCAAGTGTATTCGGAAAAATTGGAATGTCGAATGGTTTGTTGTTTTAATAATTGCTTTTTCGCTCACATATTATTTGCTCCGATGAGCCGATTACAATTTTGCACGATCGAGAAAATCGAGAAAATTAGTATGACTTTTATTCGAGTATGTAAGTTTTAGAAATATCGTGTAGAGAAAATTGTGCCGATCGTTGAAATTTTTCTCACATATTTGTTTGTTTTGTTTTAACGATACAGTGCTTCTTCCTTATAATATATTTGATAATTTTTTTTCACTTTCGATATACCGTTTAGCGGAAATGTAAAATTTTTGATTTATTATGTCGTAGTGATATATAAAATAATCGTATGCAAAGGCATTAGAGTGTTGAAAAGTATATGAAAATAACAAACATTTTCATCCTATTACGTAAATTCTTGAGCCGAGTAAGCAAATAAAAAATTATCGTCGATTCGGATAAGTAACAATAAACTAGAAGTTCTTTCCTTTCTTTTGTTTAAGAAAATTAGAAACTATAAATATGCAGTTAATATTTCTTGATCGTGGAAATCGTAAGCCAAAGTTCCAGATACTTAAATAACAAGTATGAGTTTTAAATTTATCTTAAAATTGATTTCACCATTACGCAATTTCTAAAAGGAAAAGCCGTTGGTTAATTCTGTTATAATGGAAAAGTAATAAAAAATAATCTAGCGCATTAATTGATAGTAAAAGTCAAATTACAAATCTATTGATTAACAATTGAATCTAGCAATCCTTGCAATTAATCCGATAAAGTTCGTTTCGTAAGAGACCAATTAATTGCTCGTCGTCGTCGTCGTCGTCGTCGTCGTCGTCGTCGACGTCAGCCATTCGGGATATTCCTGACGGAGGTTGAAAGCCGTTCGCCGAGCAAAGAATGAAAGAGAAAAAAAAAACTCCAAACAATACAGTGCTTACAAATAGACTCCTCCCTCCCTCCCTCCCTCCCTCCCAATTCGCTCATCCCCGGCCGTCACCCCTCGCCCTTTCTTTCTCGGGCCTTCCCGAACGAGCGAATCTGCATTGTCTTAGCGCTCGCTCATTTAATTGCAAAGCCCAGTTCGCCGTGGCTGCTGTTGCATCGGGGCTATACGTCCAAGGATTCTCAGGCACGACCGTTACGCATTGTTCAATGCTCTTATCCCCCCCCCTCCTTCTCCCCCCTCCTCCTCCTCCTTCGGCTTTCGGTCACTCTCGCTTGCCATTTTCATTCTCTCTGTTTTCCGAGCACCGTGGCGTATTTAGCCGGGAGGAGCCGATGCCCCCGGGGATGACGTTGGCACGCGCTTCCTGATGCTACCCAATTGCGTAAGGAGTCGAGTGAATCGCCTCCATCCGTACGTCCCTACCGTCCGGCCCCGTCGCTCGTGCATTCGCATTCAACAAAATATTTGTCTTCAAATTGCCATGTAATTTTCTACTTTCCTCCCCTCTCCTATCGCTTAATTTGCTCATCCCCTACTCGCTTGCTAATCGACTTGGAAGTATAATCGCTTGCGAGCACATTATGACAACTTAATTTACTTCTTCGATGATTTTAAAAGAATATTTAAGTGCACTTAACCGATATCGATGTATAAATACCAAAAGTAGAATATTAATTTGACACTGCGCCGCTTTTCAAAGCCGAGAGAGTTGTTATTCCTCGCCAGTCTAAACCGAGTCTATCTTTGGCTCGAATGAAAATTTAACGTCTCAAGAGTACTCTTTTATTATAGTGGAAGATCACTCGGGGCAAAAGGGTATAAGCGACGTCAAATTATATTTAGCCTCGTATTTTTATTCGTAACTTAAACTTTAGCGCAATTTCAAGTATGCAGAGAGAGAGAGAGAGAGAGAGAGAGTCGCAACTAGAGTGAATTAAGAGGCCCGGGCATTGTGATTAGAGCGTGGAGCCGAAAGAGCCGTCACCTTCCTTATCGGAGATGACGAAAGTGAGTCATTTTTGCGAAAATCGCATCGATTAAACTCGGCGATTAGCCAGTGCTAGCGTAGCGTGCGTCACCATGCAACAGCGAAGGAACGTGAGGCGGAGCGTCAGGCGCCGTAACTTTGGAGCAACATTTTCGCGAACGAGCAGCACGCGAATAAATACCTACGGCCACGGTATGACGTAACGATACATCGCAATAGAAAACGAAATTTCGAGGCAGCGCGAGGAGCCCTCGTGCACCGGGACGAACTCTGACTCTATCGAGACAAGCGATCGCGACTGTTGCGCGCGAAACACGCCGATGTACCTATGGGATAAAACTCGGATTTTCGGTCTCCGCTTTTCACCGGGTCCACGAAGAATTCTCGTTTCTCCGGAATCGCGCGCGTTTCGGTCGTTGATATTAGCTTTGATACAAAAAAAAAAACTAACCGTCGCCTCTGTCTATTCCTAGGTGCGCTTATTATTGCGTGACATTACGAACTCCAGAGATCCTTACGAATCACTTACGCTCACGACTCTTATCATCCCGATTTCATACCGCGTCTACCGATTGATTTTATCGACTTGGCTCCTCTGCGCGTTGCTGCGCATTGCTGCATTCTAAAATATTGCATGACAAGGAAGTGAAATTCTCATTTTAATCGTTATGTTCATTTAAATAATGCGAATTGGCCTACTTTATTAACGTACCGCGATGAGTCTCATCGATTTTTTTTTTCTACTCGTGTTTTTTTCACTTTTCTTCCAATTTTAACAGCTTGTTAATGAATTTGCAAACGATCGTAACTGAAAGTACATTTAGCTGAAATCATGTAATCTTGATTTTGAGCAGTCGTGATTATAGAAATTTTCATTCGAGTGCAGTGCGCACATGCGCAAAGAAACTCATGTTTGTTTTTACTCGTTGAATACGAATAAACGGGATATATATATATATTTTATGAAATTATCTCGGAGTAAAATTATTCTAAAGACATTTTAATAAATTTTTTTCTACCGTAGTAAGAGGAACCAATTTCAAGCTATAAAATTATTAATACATACGCAATCACTTTATCCTAATCTCTTTGCGGCGTTTGTTTTTATTAACTTTAGAGCACCACGAATCTCAGATTACTTATTTTATATATAATTTCGTACGATGTTTCATATTTGATTTTCATCTCTCTTGGCGTGTGAGGAACCCCCCCCCCCCCATGTACATGGTATTGATAAATTAAATAATACACAAACATAAAGAAATAAAGAAATAAAGAAATAAAAAAAAAAAAAAAACAATTTAGCACTAAGGTGAAATTGTCATTCTTACTTAATTTCGTAAAAAGTGGCATGAAACGAGCTTCTGACTTTTTCATCGATAAATTTTGCTAGCCTATGGCATATACCGCTGACACTTTCTTGACGAACCAATTGTAATCGACACAATAAGTTGCCTATTGTGAACTTCTAGAACGTATTCATTAATGGCGCAATGCCCAAGACCAATACAAATCGAGTCGCATACGAGTGACACGCGATTGATAGCGATAAAGATCAGGGAGGAAAATATTCAACCAACAGAAATGTCAATGTGAAACGAGATCAATTGAATAAGTGATATTTTAGTTCGTATTAAGTTTGTCATTATTATTAATCTGACGCTTGTGGCAGTGAAAATATATGGTTTCTAATAGCGTTATGTTATTACATTAAACTAACTAGAGTGAAAGTCACAATTCAAAGATAAATATTATACGTAAAATGTTCAAAAATTTTACTCTAAAAAAGTAATGCTTTAATTCAAGAAATTGAGAAAGTTTTGAGTCATACGCGTGCACGATTTCTTCTTACATAAATATTGCAAATACATTGAAATAAATACTTTATTTTATATCTAAATTTGTTTACCTCTCTGTTCATTTATCTGAATAATTACGCTAATTCAACGGATGGAAGAGATTTACTAAATAAATAAAAATTAATTAGAAAGCCAATAGCTACAAATATAATAATTATATTTTATATGCAAATATAAAGCATGTAAAATTTATAATCAAAGTAAAGGTAAAAATTATGTATGTAATAAAAAATAGCTTTTACTACTAATAAATGTAAAAACAAAAAGTCGAGTGAGTAGAACGGCCGGTTCACCGACGAATTAGAAATTTATTACAATGTACATTCATTTTTATCATTATTAATTCTGCACACTTCCTCAATCCAGCTTTGTTACTATTATTTTTTTTTACAAAATTCATAAAGATTTACAATAATGCAATTCTTAATATTTATTTGGAATTACGAGATTTATAATTGCTTTATCAGCGAATAGTTATCTTCATTTTTTATTTAAAATTTTCAAATAGAAAATTCTCAATCTTATAATACTAAATACAACGTAGAGAAAGTACAGAAAAAAAAAAAAAAAAAAAAAAAAAAAAAAAAAAAAAAAAAAAAA